ATCGCATGCCACCATCTCACCAAAGCTGACTTGGTTGCAGAAACAGTATGTGGGCTCATTTGGATCCACTGGTAAATCTAGCTCCATGCCAGTTGGATTAGCAGCAGCTGCTGCTGCTGCTACTTCTGTTGCTGCTGCCGCTGCTGCTGTTGCTGTTGCCAGCCGTGTTCTGCACCATAGGAGGGTTCAAGCAAATTTCATTGTTCAAAATTTGTCACAGGTATACCAAGGACTTTATTTTTCAAGCCAAGTTTTCTGCTGCGGGGAGAAAAGAGAATATTGTTTGGGTCACATGGTGTGGTTTAGATTACTCATAGCTCAGAACCAATTTTGACCCCGACCAACTGGATCACAAAATTTTGGAACTGTGATAAACCATGGTTCCATATAGAACTAGACAAAATCAGTTGGTCCATTCAGGTCAGTTCAATTCTGGGGTGATCTCAGACAACTTGCACAAGTAATAGAGAAAATGACTTCCTAAGGAAGGCGAAAGCAAGAATCAACAACACAATAACAGCTAACAAAAACAAGTTTAACCAATCTATAAGGAAACCAAATATAATGATATCTAGGATGAGTGGATACTTTTTACGCCCCCCTCTTCCACCTTCACTACTTCTTCCAGATTTCGCACTGCCATCAAGACTTGTAGCAGGCAAAACAGCAGCAGCATTCTCTCTTTCTGTCAAAAACCATACACATATATTCCAAGGTCAAAATCTAACCAAGGTAGAGATATTTCAGAACTGATAAAAAGTGTATTTGAAGATGAAAAATGAAAATTATTAACACACCACGCCGGAGCTCTTCATCAAATCTTTTCAAATATTGATCAAGCTGTTGTATGTGTGTATCTACCTGAATCATGATTACATCACAAACTGTCAGAGTATTGAATGATAACCGTGCAAAGGAGATTGATCCCAGTCCACAATTCCACATAATGTAGACCTGGGTCCAAAATTAAGATCTTTAAATTTTGCAACTAAATTGAACTAGCTCACTGCATTTTTGGTGGCACTAGGCACAGAAGCAAGTAGGACAAGAAGAACATTCATGATGAAGAAACTTCTCCGAAGATAAGATATATGAAATGTCATTCAGCAATGAAATCTTAAAATGCTTTGTGCTAAAAGTTTTACCATAGGGGAAAGGAAAACCAAAATAACAGATAAATGCTATCACAAACACTATCATTCATCCTTACTATGGAAGAAAAAGGATCAATTAAATTTCCATGGAAAATCCACAAGAGAATCATACATTTATTCTTTTCATGAGGTAAGACTAACACCCAACCCATCAATGAAATAAATATAATTAACTGTGACTTATTGATTACCAGTCCAATTATGAAAAACTGAAGCATAAGTAGCCATAAAATAATACTGCACAGACAGAACATTGTAATTCCCACAACTTTTGACCTTAAAATATAATGTGCCTCGGCAAAAGCCAGACAAAATCCTGCCCACACCTTAGATGGCAAATGCTAAAAGAATCTGATAGTGTCAAGTAAAGCACCGTCCAGGAAAAAAGGGATGACAATTGCAAACTAAAGATTTGGCAAAGACAGAACAAAAAACAATAAAAGCCAAATATCATACAACAACAAGCATTGTAAATCACATTTACTGAGAATAACATAAAAGATATAAGTCCATAAGTTAAATATTGAAGCCACAAGGAGAATCAACAGACCAAATCATAAGCTTGAACAGCCAAGGCTACTTTTTCATCTGCAATCCTGATGCTATGCTTTTGCTCATCTAGTGCTTCATCTGAGAATCTAATAAGTGAAGTATCTGGTGTAATATTTCCAGCCCTGACACCATTCTTGATATCTTCTATTTCTTGTTCACAATGTTGTTCATTTTGTCTCACAATTTCTGTTCATATACAAAACACAAAAATGTGGTTAAGACCACAAGTGAAAACAGGATGGTAGAAACAGGAAGCAAAGTCAAAATACAAAACAAAGCCAGATATGCTAC